TCATGACTTCTCTAGCCACGTATTTCCTGGAGCTCTATGGTACTTGTTCATTTTTTCTTATAAAATGAGGTAAAAGGGGCACGGGGGGGGGAGGTCCGTTTTCTTGCTTTAACATTTTAATTATATCTTCAATGAAAGTACTGAGACAGAGAGAGAGAGGTTAGACAGAGTGTCTTTTTTCTTGCCCCGGTTAGGATTTCTTAAGCAAATCCACTGGGCTTTCAACATGAAGCCAGAAAATCAGGACATTTTAAAAACGCCCCGGGACACGGGACAAATTGTTATAAATCGGGACGTCTGGTCACCTTAAATAATACAGAGACACATGCACACATGCAGTACATACAATTTAGGACCACGTCCCTTTATATTCTCTCACCTTTTATTTTTTCCAAATCTTCGGTTTCCATCTCTACCTAGAACTTGAACTCTATACTATGAGGCAGGAATATCAAATGTGCTTTTTCAAAAGGCAACGGGATTAGAGTTAATGGTTGTTTTTTTTGCCTTCTAAGGAAGAAGCCGTTTCGCCTGTCATCCAAGAAGTTTCATTGGTTCAGAGAATTTCCAATATGCATTTTGGGTTTCTGCTTTGCAGTTTCTCCCCCAATGGCAGATATTAATGTATTTGCCTGGTTACACCAGCCATAGCCAATTGAATAATTGTTTACTACATTTATTTATTTGAAGAGTCCTTTGGTGTTCTCTGAGCTTGGTTGTTTTCTTACAGATATTTCTTTACCCAAACTAGGTAACATCAGTGCTAGCAAGGAGTGGGGTTTGCTCTTACTTGTACTGATGGTGTTTCCTAGAAAGCAACCCTAACCCTAACCCCTCATTTCAACTCTGAGCTACAAATATTCTAACTCTTAAGACTTATATACCACTTCACAGTGGTTTACAGCCCTCTCTAAGTGGTTTATAGAATCAGCATAATGCCTCCAACAATCTAGGACCTCATTTTAACCAACTTTGGAAGGATGGAAGGCTGAGTCAACTTTCAAGCCAGTCAGGATTGAGCTCCTGGCTGTGGGTAGAGTTAGCCTGCAGTACTGCATTCTAACCACTGCACCACCATGGCTCATTTGCCTGGATTTTCAATGAATCATATATCACATTTTAGTCTTACCTTATTGTGTTAGCCTAAATCTTAAACTTCCAAAGTCATACATTGCTGTAAACCAGCATCTTTATTCATATGCTGAATAAAAACTTCCTGATTTAGAAATCCATCACCTTGATCAAAGGTTATGTTGGCTTCTCAAATTGGCAAATGTCTAATTTTCTGAAGCAGACTTACTTTCATATGACTTATTGTAATTATCCCAACTTAATTCTTCTACATTTTGTTGAAGACAGGGCAGAAACCTACATCCCACATTTATAGGACCTTTTTCTTTTGTTCTCATATCTTAATACTTGCTCATGCTCATTTATGAAAGATAATGTGCTATAAGGCAAGGTTTGGGAGCCAGACTGTCTATGCGAAAATCCTATTACATACTTAGTTCTGGTTTGCATGTTATGAGAACATAGCCACTGAGGTTTGTCAATAGTGGACTGATGGATTAATATGTTGGCACAGCCAACATGTTATGCTAAATCACATGGAATGTGTTGATCCCCCCCTCCCAAAAAAAGTATGCATGTGATTGCCGTTT